ATCTGGATCAAAGAATACAGGATTTGCCATTATAAATGATAAGATAGCTCTTCAAACAAGAGCTTAGGTTCTTTCAGTCTCAAAGCGTAACTCAGAAACCATTTTTCTACTATTCATAAGAATCCAAGCAGTATTGGGAAGGAAGACCCTCAACATTTTCTAAATGTCAGGCTATATGAAGTATGCAATCTTGTTCACTTAAACACACAAAATTAACCGACTGAATCAATGCAACAGAAGGAATATCTGTATTCAATACCAATACAAATGCTGTATCATTCTCTGACAAAAATGAATTTACCTTGAGCAACAAAAGGCATATTGCCAGTCAAAATAACATTACTGGTCCTAGGAGAAAATTATTTTCCCCTGAAGAACAAAAAAAATAGTTCTCTCGGACATATTTTTTTAACCTAGCTAAAACTGTTTTGTGATGAATATAGTCAGATAAAAAATGTTTAAAAAACCCCTCAAACTTAAGATTTAGACCTCGCTGGCTGCATGCCTTCCCCCCCACCCCAACCAAGCTCTCCCCAGTCCTGATTCCTAAAGGCACTCTTCTTCCTGTTCTTAAGTGTCTCCTAAAGACTTCTTCCACAATGTTCATAAGAGAACCAAAATGAACAAATAACCAAAAATCACTCTCTCAATCTGTCTCTACACTTTCTAGGGCATTTCATCTTCAGTGGTTCTATGAAGACTGTAAACTTTGAGAAGATGATTCTTTCTTCACTTTACAGCTTGTATAACACTGAACATGTTTGCTGTCATTAATAATATTCTCTCTCTGAATCGAGATTTCTTAAGATTAATATTTATCTATTCAAATAAATTATTAATCTTAAAGAAATCAGGAGCTTCCATTTCTTTGTTTTCAACCTGGCAAAGAATACGTCACGTTTTCAACCTGAAAGTCTATGAAGTATAGTCTAAATGGGATATTTTGCTCTCCAGAAACAAATTGCAGCAAAACACAGGTATACAAGGAGCTGTGATTCAGGGTTGTCAGAAGAGCCAGCATCAGGAATGGGTCAATCAAGGCCTGCTGGCAAAGCAAAAGGAACAGGTTCAGAGATCTGCTCTGCACTATGGTCCAAACTAGCTATCAAGGAATGAAGGACTTGCATGGACTATTGATTAAATAGGGGTTGGCTTAGGCCATAAGGTCCCAAGATAGCATGATTTTTTAGGCCTATTTTCACATGTGTAATATTTCAGAAAAGCCTTAACAGAGCTGCTTGGGTCACTGAATTATTTAAAAACCATTTCTCCTATATAAAAGGACAGTCAGCAGCCTGCCCAAACACTTCCAAAAATGTAACAATAAAGCGAACAAGTATATACAGAAAATAAGGCTGCAAAAATAAATACATAAAAATCCCTTCCTCTTTTTTATTTGAGTGAGCTAAC